CATTCCAAGACGCCGTAACATACGAGAGCAACAGCAACAAGGGTCTAAACCATTCGGAGCAATCAAATTAAAGTTTGGAAATCGCAGCAAGAGTTCCAAGGTAATTGGAACCGAAGTGGGTCGCATCACACACGGTGTAAGATAAAAGTAAATAGGCAATGTGTGAGGAATGTGAAATAGCTTTCAAAACTAAACTGGAACAGAGAAAGCGATGGTGCTGAGTAAATTCGTAGACTGCAGCGGGTCAGTTGGAAATGTTCATAGGAGTAATGGACGATACAAAGACACCATCAGCGCATCAATGACAAATAAATCGATTATCCTGCTGCTTGGGCAGGGGGAGGGGGAGGGGGAGGTGAAGGGATGTACGTATATGTTTTCAACGGTACTTTTTCGCAAATTGTGTATGAATATTCAGTGACTATTTTCAAATGTTTCTCATGCGACTTGCTAATGCTAGCGGGCAAATTGCTACTGGATTCTAATCAAATATGCATGTGGCAAGTTATACACGCATGTCATGTATACCAGCAAAGCAGTAAATAGCAAATAGCTCGCACACGGCCAGAACATGGCCAGGACACACATGTTTAATGTTTGGTGCTGAAGGCTATTCAAATGGAGCTGGGCAGCTCCCCAGGACTCCCCAGCCAAGTGTCGAATTGGAGCAACGTTTAGTGTAGGTAGTAAGCAGCATTTTCGAATCGATAATTCAATTTCAACACTACATATAGAGTCTGTGCTTTGCCGGCGGCAGAGTTTGTCCATACGTTTCTAATATGCATCTGAATCTTCATCATCATTTTCGTCATCTCCATCGTCATCACCAGTGTCGAAGTTTGGCCAGCCACTTCCGGCCATCAATCGAGGGCGTTCAATTGGCCCCATCTTTGACGTTTGTTTATTTAATGATAGACCACGGGGAGCTGATGCCTCTGATGGGCATACGCCAGCCTCCCTCTATCTCCCTTTCCCTTTGCACTTTTTCGAGGCAATGGACGTTGCCAGACAGAAGCTGGGGAGCTGTAGTTCTCGACGCGTGTCTTGAATATTTATTTGCATTTGATTAAAGTCTCAGTTTCATTCGGTGTTTATTTGATTGAGACACTGCTCGGTCAGAAGACAATCGTAAAAATTTGGTCAAGGCATCGCCGACCATTCTCAAAGATTGTGATACACTGCAAAGTGGTCGGCTAGGTACTAAATAAAGCTGGATGATTAATAAGAAAATCTGCCTCTTTAAGGCAAAAGATTTATTTATATTTCGCTATGCGAGAAAATGGGGAAACCCATTCAATAAATCATGGACGTTACTTTGCTATAGATCAATTGCGGTTACAATTTATGCACTGTCTTGGCCAATGGCAACGCTAAATTGATGAGGTCTTCAGCACAAAAACCTCATGAATAATGTCACCTGATGCCAACAAATAGCCTCATTAAGTTGCCAATGTACATTCGTTTTTCTTGCCTCAGATAGTAGGACGACTGATTGGTCTGAGACAATGTGAGGGTATACAGTATTTCTTATATATATTTAATTGTAGCATTCTTGAGCCCCCAATGCACTGATCTCATAACTCAGTTATTGCAGATATTTCGCACTCGGAGTGAGTTCCATTTGCCATTTGCCTGGACGCACGCTAACCAAACTCATTGAGTTGAAACTAAGTCCCACAACCAAAGCCAAAACCAAAATCAAACTCAAACCCAAACTCAAACAAAGGAAGCAAATACAAATCCAAGCATTCGAGATTACTACCACGCGATGAGCCCAGCAATTTTCACTTTCGCTTTTTATACTCTTTCATGCCCTTCTTGGGGGTATTATGATTTTCCCAATTTCCATATATTTAGAAAATTAAATTGTATGGAAAAACACTTTTCTTTGACAATGAATAGAATATTAATTTTTATATATGTCATATGGTAGCAAGGGTATCTTATATTCAGCATAAACAAGATGTGTGTGGGCTCGTCGTCATTTTTTATTTTTGCCAACGCCGCACAAAACGCCATGAATAAAGTCACATGAAGATAGATGCAGGCTAGGCGTAATAGTAAGTTATATCGTCTGAAATTCTGAGCGCAGTCACAATTTGTTTTATTTCTGTCACAGTGGCAATGTAAAAAATAAATAAGGAACAAGGCAACAACGGCAACAACGGCAACAAAACTGACAATCACTACATGTGCCACTGACAACAAATTTCTTTTTTTTGGTCAGCATGCGGTTTTGCTTATTTCTTCTTTTACTATGGCCACTCGTCTCTTAACTTTTATAGATTGCACTCAATATAAAAGGGTAAAATGATTATTATTAAGTTGTGCAAATCCACTTAATACGCTAAAAAAAAAGATTTTGCTTATCAGATTATCAAGTAAATGAACTCCTAATTAGCAGACTGTCGGTTCGCCCTGAATGCTGGGTATCTCCTAGTGTAGCTCTCTCTACACTTATTAGTTTTATTTTTTTCTTTCCTTCTCTCCAGCCTGCCTGTGTGTGTATGTACGTCTGCGTTGGAGCGGGGGTCTCATAAATTAAATTACTTAAGGGACAATGAAAATGCTGAGCGAAAAACTAACAACAGCTCGTTTAGAGCCATGCTTGTATACTGAACCGCATACGAACGAGAGTCAATCAACGAGTTTGTGGACTTAACGATAAATGTCTGAAACGAATGATTGGCCAATATGGTGGCCATAAAGTGCACTCCAAGAAAATAATTCTCTTGGAATTTTTCAGAAGCAAAGACCAAATGAACACTGAAAGAACCATTACATAGATGTTGAGGTTACAAGAACAAAAATAAGAAGAACTTTCTAAGAAAACTATGTGAACCTCTAACAAATACCTTAAAGAAATTCAAGCAGTGCACACTGGCCCCATATGAACTATTACAGACGTTGAATTATACACTGAGAAAAAAATCTATATGAATTTTAGAAAATCGCTTTTGGTGCCAAGAGTAACTTACCTTATAATAGTTCCAAAATGAAAGTTTCTATCTTCCTAAAAATAAGATATTCCCTTTCATTCCAGGGCAATTTTTTTAAATTTAGAATTTCGTGCTCATCCCGCTAAACTGTAAAATTACAGTCGAGAGATCGAATGTCAATCATTTTCTTTTTAAATTTCAAAAATGCATTTTTTTTTCGAAAATAAATGATTGCAGAACTTTTCAGAAAAATTTTGTATTATTACGGAATATTTCTGAAAAGACTTACTAATTCCAAAAACAAGCTAATTTCGAGACATGGCTATACACATCATATACATAGATGAAAGATTTCAATTTCTAAATTGAAGAGAATACGAAAATATAGTCACAGTGTGTACAGCGAGTTAAATTCTTGTTAAAACTGTTAGCTGAGTGACCACTCATCTTGCTCTATATTCCACAGTTGAGTGTCCACTCAGCTCGCTCTATATTCCACACCACAAATTTATAATTGAGGCAACCCAAATGAGTGTTTTAATTGCAAGCTGAACGATGACAGCAAATGCAAAAAAACGTCATCCAGCCGGTTATGTTCAGGACAAGGGTCATCCGTACTCGGTTGAGAGCCAGCGCTGACAACTGTATCGGAGGAGGCGAAATTTGTGAACCATCAAGAGCACAACTGTGGCGACAATTAAACGCAAAGACAGCAACTTTGCCGAACCTCAATTCTTATTAACAATTGTTACATTTTATGTAAACGACTTCAGGCCGTTTTCTTAAAAGCAGAATTTAGTTTTACAATTTTGTGTTATTAGGTAATTCCGAAAATTTGCCACATCTTATAAGGCGATTCTTGCCGAAATTGTTTGGAATAAATTTTTAACTATTTTTTTTATTTATTTGTTTTGTTTTTGTTAAGCTTAACTTAATTTATTGGGTGAGCGATTTGGCTCGTTGTTGCCCTCTCCATTGTCAATAATTTCTAATTGTGGGAGCTCCCCAAATACTTGCTTATGAAAACGTTTGTTTATATTATTAGTAGCGTTTATTATTATTATTATTATTATTATTTATCTGATGTATATGAAATATCTTTGCTATGTTATAATTCAAGATTTTTAGTATATACAATGATTTAACTATTGCCTAATATTCCTATGATTCAACGCTCAATTCCATTCTATTCTAATTCCTTAAAGTAGGCGGCGTTCCTTGTACAATCAATCCTTTCCTTTACCTGTTTATTTTGTATAATGATAACTTTTTTAAACATCATCTTTTCCACCACAATTACATGAATAATCTTCCAAAATACAAAAATACAGTCCACATAAAATTGTGCATAATGAAAGAAAATGTGCATAAGATAAGAAAAATACGATAATTACTTAAAACCCTATTTTGACACTGTGGCGGACGAAATCTTTGTGCGCTGCTAATCTGAAAGACATCTTTCCAATCCATTTCCACTGGCCAATGTTCCTAAGGAAATGCCCGTTCGCAACACACACCAATTGCACGACCTCCTTTTGCATAGGCGTAAAACTGTGAAGATGTACAACCCTCGCATGAATTTGATATACGAGACACCTGAGTAGGCAGACGAGGCGTTGAGGTACCACAAGTAAAAGGTCGCCACACAGAAAGTGAGCTTATATCCCAGATGCGATTACATCCAGTCGTGGGATATCAGTAAGTTATATGCAAAGCACAATGTATATAAATACGCCGACAAAGCGAAAATGGCTCATACATATTCAATGGGCGATGACAGCTGTAATAATATGAATAAGAAAATTACTAAGCCTTTGTTCGATCAAATTTTTGGAGAGCTGAGATTCAGATAAAAACGTCTGATTTCAAGTCCATATTGGCGTTATAGGATGGAGCGCTTCTGGAAGTGGATTACGTGTCAACTGAACCGTCTGATTTCAAGCGATAATTAGTTCATTTTGTTTATTTTTGTTTGCAACCTTAGGAAGTTTTAATTGAAACATGAAAAGTACTTAACAATTAATTAATATATAAAAAAAAGTTACAAAAAAAAATCGACGCAATTTTTACATATTTACAAGCACAACTACATACAACGAGTTCATCAGTATCTCGCATTACAGTTGCGGACTGTCTGCGGCGGCAGCACTGTTTGAATATACCACGGAGTTGAAGAGCTGGTCGTGACGAGAGCGTGTCCGCCAGGTGTCCATACCAATTGCCAGGCCGGGTGCATTGGACATCGCCGCCTGGCTGGCCGAGAGCGCGCCGCCAGCATTGGCGCTACGATTCCACGGCAGACCCTTGAACGTGTCCAAAAATGCACGCCGGAAGCTGGCGTTCATGAAACAATAGGTGATTGGATTACAACAGCTCGAGGAGTAGGCCAGCAGCTGCAGAAAACTGATCGATGTGTAGTCAATGTACTCATACAGTGCGTGTCCAATGAACATGCTCAATGTGTTGATCACATACAGTGGCGTCCAGCAGATGAAGAACTCTAGGACAAGCACAAACAGCATCTTTACCACCCGTTTCTTGCTTTCCAGCGTCTTAGCTTCGTTAGATCTGTAAAAATAGATTCGAGGTTCCATGATCATCTCGGTTCTTAAACCACCTCTTCTGTACTCAACTATATCGTATATATTGTTTAAAGTGTCAACTACATTTATTCTGCAGATTAGCGACTTAATAATAATAATATATTTCTTAAACAAATTAACAAAATATTTACGCTGTCAGACGGTCACCCGGTAATGGAATCGGACCCGCATGTTTACCAATTGATATTTAGAATTTGAATCGGAACCTAAATTCAAAATCCAAAATACCGCAGCTGATATTATTAGTTAATAGTTAGCGATATTTGCGAATCTGATGAACTTATCGATAAAACTAAATGAACTTGATCTCTCTTGGATTATACGAGAATTTATGGTCTCTAACAACCATTTATTCATATATCGCCTCGGCTGTTGATGCTGATCAAAAATTCATATCCCCTTTATGGTCAGAGTTACTTCTTTCTGCCTGTTATTTACCTTTGAATAACTTCATTGCAATAAATTGTTTTACCCATTTTACTCATGTTCTGCTCAAACGCAAGAAGCTTCTTTGCCACCGGTACTCAGATGGTACCCAGAGTATTATGCCCGACTGGAATGGTCTTACTTATTTGTTCATTAAATCACAGTCAAGGTACCAATACATAACCGAATACCATATGAAACAATACAGGAATCTATTTCGGAACTTGTATACCTTACGTACCCGAATCGGAATATAAGCCTAACTTAATTTCAACTTCACACTGATTATTACTATTATATATATTGTGGATTTAAATACATACATAAATACATATTTCAAATTGATTCAAAATACTTAGGTAAACTTCAAATTATTGCAACGCATCTACTCCAGCAAATACCAAAAATCATAATTGATTATAAATTATCCAAAAATAAAAAATAAATAAATAAACAATATAATTCCGCAAAGTTTTAAATGTAAGTAATTTGCTTATATAATTAATGATATCCAAAACAGAAAATAGCGGGCAAAAGTGGTCCACTTCACTCAAAAATTAATTTTAGCTGACTTGTAAATAAGTTATGTTTATAGCTGAAGGTGAAAGGTCACAGGACTCCAGGACTCGACAGCTTACCTGCGCAGCGTTGCGTCGTGTATACGCAAACTTGGCGATGAGCTCGCAGACTTGGCCAATGTCACCGTTGTCGGTGTCGTTGTCAATGTTGCCGTCGTTGTGGTTGTTGTCGCTGTGGTTGTTGTTGTGTTCGTTGTTACTGTTGTTGTCGCGCCAGTCGTTCCGCCATTGTTGTTGTTGCTACTCTCTGCGAACAATGCATTAAATGCGCAAATTTCCACATAAATACCATTTGGCAAGGGCGTGACGCGTGTGGGCGTGTGGACGAATGGCGAATGGGCGAATGGGCGGATGGGCGTGTCCAATACTTACCACTGTACTCGCTAATGGCGTTCAGCACCAGGACACAACTGCTGCTGCCGGGTGTGGCGGTTATCGCAGATGTTGCCATTGCTTGCGCGCTGCCACTGCTATGGGGCATCCTTGGTTCCTTGCCCGCATCCATGCCCACATACAGGGTGCGTGTGATGAGTATATAGGCCACACACAGCACCAGCAGTGGCAGGACCAGTAGTATGAGATCCAGCATAAGATTATAGAAGCGCTCGTAGCCCTGATCGGGCCACTGTTCACGGCACTTGCAATACCCTGGCGGCAAAGTCAATAAAGTACCAATAATCCAGCTGCCAATTTTCAGCTAGCTTCAAAATTTTGTCACTCACCTGGCCGGCTCGTTGGTATCAATTGACTGAATACCGCAATTGGGGTCATGCACAAGATGCCACCGATCCAAATGAAGCCGATTATCTTGTAGGCATGATTAATTGTCTGCCAGGACCTCGACCGCAGTGGATGACAGATGGCGTAGTATCGCTCACAACTGATGGCCACAAGTGTCCAGGAGGAGACGGCAACAGAAGCCGCTGTAAATGGCGCCAACGCAAATGCAACTCGTTAAATATCGATTGGGGAAACCAACAAAACTAATTTCGCTATTTATTATAATTACAAAAATATATAATTCATGTGATATATTTATATATTTATAAATCAATTACTGTGTGTTTCTCTTGGTGGATGGCTTAAGGAAAAATAGTTTTGTAAAAAAATCCCATCGGGTCATCTAAATAATGTAAAAAATCAAAAGAAGCTTTATCAAAGACACAAACATTAAACAATTTTTGATTTGGTCACGTACGGTGTGGGGGCTTTGACATAATTAGATATTGATTTATTGATTCATTCTAAACATTTGACAATTATTATAATAGAGTAAGCTTCTCAGTGTAGATATAGGGTTATCTTGGTTTAAGACCAAAGCTTTTAAAATGTTTTTTTCTGTACAAAATGGCTTGTACCAGCAGCAGCATTGAGTAATGAATTTGTAGATATGGCTGAAATGTGTTTGCCACGTAAATTGCCTGGCGTAGAATGTTCTATTAGCAAATCGCTGGCATATGAGCTAAGACATAAACAGAAACGAGCGCGACAGTATCGGGTGGGGAAATGAAGGATCTGCTGATTAAAGTCGTAATCAGAGCAAACGTAAACGGGCACGAGCACATTTTGGCCATATGTCATCGGGTTTTTTTGGACTTTAGCTGGTTTTGTTGCCGTGTGCGCTGCAGAATCGGATTCGTTTGTGTTTTGGCTGGCTAAACAAATTTTGCGGTATTTATGCATGGTGTGGCGCTGTGGAGCCTGTTTGCCATGGCCATGGTTATGCCCCTGCCTCGCTTTATTTGCGGCAATCAAATTTTATCGCCCAACTGACGCTTATAAATTTGGGTCTGTTAAAGCGCCTCGCTACGCATACTTATATTTTCTTGGAGTCTGAGGTGTCTCAGATATGTATGTGTGTGTGTGTGTGTGTGTGTGTCGTATACGTAATATGCTTAACACGTCGACGTAGATGCCTGATTTGCAATCTGATTCTGAATCCGAATCGAAAAGTGCTCCTGAACCCAAAATCCTGAGGCTGAGTCGAAAATTTGGACTTATGCGGCTGAGCGGGCTTACGAGATGCCCTCAGTAAGCTGGCTGTGCAAGTTACACACAAATCAAATTCAATCAACAACAAATTCTTATGCATATGTATTTATAGACATATGTAAATGAAAAAGTAAACATAGAAATTGAATTTGTGTTCCATGTTGATTCTATAGTCTTGCGATGTGTCTGCCGTTTTTTGCTTGTCTTATTTTGATGTCAGTTTTGCAATCGCCAATCGAATTACTTACGCATGCATACACACCCATTCATACACACACACACGCACACACACACACACACTGCTCACGCCTTCCCAAAATCACACTCCCACAGTAAGGTGCTTACAAATTGCGTTTGTATTTTAAAATGATTTCATTGCCAAAGCGTTTGCAGCCAATCAATCAAACTGCTTATCTACCTGCCTACAGTTGAACAGCAAGCATGCTCACACCCACTTTTAGTTTGTAAGTATAACAGGGTATTTTTCGATGCTCAGCAATCCATACCCAAAAGTATGCAACACTTTTATCCACTTCTGCTACCAATAAATGTTGCATGCTGTCAGCCGCCCACAGTAAGGCCTGGTTTACAAACACTGGCAGTGCTGTCATGTTTTTTTATATCATAGTATATTGGTTTTCTGCAATGTCCCTACTGCAGTCGTCCGACAAAGTGTAAAAAATGGAGTGCTACGTCCAATAGGGGGTTGGGAAATCGATAAAATCGATATACGCAAATCGATAAAGCCGCATATCTCCCACAATTTTAAGGCTACACTGACCAAATTTGGTTGGTAAGTTGTTGGCAATGTCCTTCAAAAATCAACAATTGCCACGCCCAACTCCGCCGCCCCCAGGTCCCCGCCCTTATTTTCCGCAGCTTTTGAAGCTAGAGCCGTCAAATTTGGTATTTATATTACTGGCAGCCGCCTTTAAAAACCGATAGCAGGATTATATGACCACGCCCACACCGACTCGATAAATCCGCATATCTCCCACAATTTTGAAGATAAAGTGACCAAACTTGGAATTTGACTTGCTGATAACCTCCTCCAAGGATCGGCATATAAATTTTCAGTCGCCACCCCCAGGAACTTCGATCCTAGAAGCCTGAAATGTGCATATCTTCCGCAATTTAAGAGCTACAGTTACCAAACTTGGAATGCAAATTACTTAGATCGTACTCCAACAATTTTGTTGGCCACGCCCACTCCCGCTCCCAACATTTTCAAATTCTCATATCTCCCGTAATTTAAGAGCTACAGTTACCAAGCTGCGAGGAAACTTTACTAGCTGATATATATCACAATTTGAAAGTCAAACTTGGACAGTATTTATTGGCTACACCCATCCTGTTTTTGGCTACTTGTTAGCTGCTGGACTAACTTATGGCATCAAAGTATTTTGCAGTCGGTTACGCCCGATTGCAACGTTCTCTCTTGTTATCATATATTTTGTTAACAAAATGCAAGAAATTGCGAATTTAATTTCTAGTGGCAGCGTTGCACCCCGTAGAAACCAACTTGGCAATATGTATTTACACACGTTGGCAAGGAATTAAAAATTTGATCAATTATTTGTCGCTTTAAGTATGTTAATAAATTGTTTGCCGACGCTGCATTTTTAATGCATTTAAAAGTTAATAATAATTATTAAAACAAGAAGAAAAGTAATTGAGCGCGGAAATGGATTGCTCGGAGAGAAGATATTGGCTAAGAAGCGTTGCTGGCTTAAAACCTGCTCGGAAGGGTTTTCCCATTTTGCCTTGCAATCGCCTCCATTTCTCTGGAAGACGACGACGATCTTATCGAAGGCATTTTCGCAACCGCACCTTTAGTTATCGATAGCTGATAATCATTGACACAATTCAAGCTTTCGCTTATTTCTTCAGCACAATATTTATTTATTTGAAAAACAATGACTTAGCAATAAGAGCTATTGTTTTGTGTTTGGTGAAAACGGGTAAGAGGGCTATAATAAGGCTGTGAAAGCTAGAAAAAATAAGTGAATATATGAACTATCTGAAATGCTTGTAAATGTGGTATCTTATATTTAATTGTATTATAACTGACACCAGAAGAGCTGACGTAAGAATTTACAAAGAAAGACACAACCTTGCGTTTTTCTGACCTCAAAAACCACCCAACAGGACCAGTATACAATGCTTATTTTTTGCAATCTCTAAATTTAATAAAAATATTACATTTATGAATATTAACTATAATTTATTTTGTTTATTTAGCAATGAATTCATAAATTAGGCAAAAATATATGAAATAAATTGATTTAAATTTTAAGAATTAAATTACCATACTTGTGACATGTGACATGTGCTGATGTAGATCACATAAAGTTAAACTAAGTTTCGATAAGTTCTTAAAGTTTTTGCTAAACTTCAACCGTCACGTCGCCGTCATCATGTTCAAAAACACATACATATGTACATATATAATCAAAATGAATGATGAACTTCAACTTGCTAGACGGCAAATTAAAAATTTGCACATAGCTTAAAAAACTTTTCGCTCGGGAACACTTGAGACGTGGCAAAGTTTTGCCATACTAATTTTGATTCACTAACATTCGGTGCGGTCGCCCCCTCCTGCTGACCAAGGACTGTCAACTGAGTGCAGCTGCTTATAGAAGAATGACAAAGTTTTCTCAATGCTCAATCTCAATTCTCAATCCCATAATTCAAGTACTCGGCACGCCCTCGCTGCTTAATACTTGTGGCTACTTCGATTCTTGATCCATGGTCAGGGGGAGAATTCCAATTTCAAAGTTCACTATATGTGTGTATAAAGTCAAGATAAACCTCCAGCAAAAGTAACAATTATTTGACAATTATAGCCAAGCACTATTCTTCTAGCTTTAGTGAAAAATATCCTTAGCCTTAAATACAACTTTCAATTCGGTGATAAAGCAAACCCGAAAAAAAAACAAACAAACAAAAGATTACTTCAGAAAAGAAATCTCGATCTAGATACTCTGTAACCAATACTTGTCATAAATTGAATGAGTCGCAGAAATTCAACAACAAACGTTCAAAATGTACAAATCGATTGTTGCCTAGTGAAATCCCTTTACCCAGTTTCAATAGGTACATTCTATACAAAAGAAAAGTGTTTAAAAAAATGTTTACTTTTTTTTAAGTTGTTCGCAATCGAAATTGAAATTTAAAAACGACATGGATGAAAGGCTCAATGGAAGCCCGCACATTTTGGTCACTTTTGGAGTTTTATTGCTTTGGGGAATGGAATGTAATTTGCCCGAAACAAAATAAACATTGTATTTATTTGTTTTTGTTTTAAAAGATACGGGCTCAAGCTGGGTAAACTTTGCGTAACAGCAAGCTGGCAAATTTGATTAAGTTCAATAGATTTAACACATACTGCCATTTACTTGGCAGTATTTAAGCGCTACAATGACAGCTTATTCCTCGCCGTGAAATCGCCCGGGGCGTTGTCGAGAAAATGCTGCAGCCTTCAAGTCGTGGCACGCCCAAAAAATTCTATTTAACTGAAAAGTGAAACAAACTTGGCAAAGTGCTTGGCACCCGCCTTTTTATCAAATTAAATAAGTATTTTAAAGTTTCTACGTAAATTTAATTTCTGTTCGTTGGTTGTGTGTGTATCGAAACTTTGTTGTAGCTCAGCTGCTTTGTAGACCAAACCAATGTCTATGTTTTGAGGCTTATCCAAGTTTTATTTAATAGAATTTGGTGTTTAGCTACGCATTTAAAATGCAACCAAAAATTTCGAAACACAGAAAAGTTCGAGAGTCGAGTCAGCATCAGTATCAGCATCAAATGTGAATTCATTACTAAGTTTATTTTCAGCAAGGTTCCAACGGCTGAAACTTTCGTCTGGCAAACCCAGCGAATGCTTACAGACAAAAATCTGTTCAACTGGACGGGTATTGAAACCCAAAGT